TTGGAGGCTGCAGTCCTTGACCCTCTGTAGCAAGCACTTCAGGTCCTCCTCAGTTTCAGCAAGCAGGGTTGTGTCATCTGAATAATGCAGATTGTTGATGAATCTTCCACCAATCCTGACACCACACTTCTCCTCATAGAGCCCAGCCTCCTGGATCATCTGTTCTGCATACAGTTTAAAAAGGTACGGAGACAGGACACATCCCTGGCATATGCCCTTCCCAATTTTGAACCATGCAGTGTATTCTTGCTCTGTTCTGTGACTGATAGTACACACAAAAAAAATAATAAAATTTTTTAAAAAATAATAAGGATTGATTACTTTGAATTGTGGTGCTCAAGAAGAGTGTTGAAAATACCATGGACTGCCAGGAGAACAAACAAGTTTGTCATGGAAAGGGTGAAACCAGTTTGCTCCCTGGAGGCAAAGATTTTGAGGCTCTATTTCACATACTTTGAGTATATTTCCAGAAGGGACCAGTGCTTGGAGAGGGACATCATACTTGAAAGGGTGGAAGGACAGTGTAGGAGAGGAAGACCCAGGATGAGCTAGCTAGATTGACTCAGTGACTGGAGCAATGGGAAGAAGTCTGTAGGAGATAATGGTGTAGGATAGGGAAGCTTTCAGAGCTAATGTACACATACATGATTACTATGAGTTACAGGTGACTTGATTGTTCATAACAATAGGGTAGGATTCAGAGCTATTATTCATAAGGTTGCTATGAGTAACAGGCAACTTGCTGGCACATAACAACAACAAAAACATACCAAATAAATAAAATTTAAAAGAAATTAAACACAATATTAGTTCCTATAAGTAGACATTATAACTAAACTCTGTGATGTACTGTATTTAAAAATCTTGCAGAGAGGGGAGAGGATGGGCAGTGGTGTAATCATAGGGGTCACACAATTTGATGGGTAGAGAGAAGGGTGGGCAAAGGAAACGGAAAAAATCTGGGGGAAAACCAATGTATATGAATTTTGTAAAGCAAACTAATATAAAATAAAAAGTCATTTAATAAAATCTTGCAGAGACAATATAGAAAACCTTACCTCTTTCAAGTCTTCATATAATATGCATTTAACATTTGCATCCTCAATATGTTTATTCCAATTGATGGCAAAATCAAAATAACTTCCCCAAGAAACTAAAAATACAGAGTGAGAAAACACCTCAATAATTTTTAAATAATTGAAAGTAAAAATGATAGATGTAATTGGTTTATGCACCAGTGAGGTAGGTTTGTAAGTTATTACAAATCTCTGTCCCTAAAGAACCAGCAAGAAGTAGTTTCATTGTCAAATTCCTATGCATTTTTTATCCTTCCCAATGTTTTCTACAAATAGTAGCATAATTAAGGACATTGTAAAATTGATCTTCATGAATGTGCAGGAAAATTGAAGAACTCAGAAATTTTAAAATAAATAACTCATAACTAATAAAAATAAGACAGCTACTGCCAAAAAGAACAAAGATAAGATGGATGCTGTTTAAACCAGTATTATCCAAGGATAAAGTAGCATGAGACACATATATAAAATTTTCTAATAGCTATATTAAAGGTGGAAAAAATCTGATGAAATAATGTTAATATTGTATGATTATTAATGGACAATATAAAAAGATTTATTTCAACATGCAATCAATTTTAAAAGGTTGCTGACAGAACATTGCACTTTTTTTCTATTCTAAATATCTCATTTTGAATGCTAAATTTTTATTGTAAATACTTGAAGTCTATTTAGATATCCTAGGTTGGCCTTGTATTTAAAAGGTGGTTGGGCCCAACTAAGTCCTCAGTTTGGAGGCTCATGTGTGAAGTGGTTGGGTTCTGGAAGATGATTTCTCTTGTCTTGGTGAGGGTCAGGTGTGGACTGTTTGGTTGATTGTTTTGTTTTTGTTTTTTTAATTAGCTTTTTATTATAATTTGAGTCAAAGTTTACAGAGCAAACTAGTTTGCCACTCAGTTCATTCACATTATGTTTTTTTAATTTTTATTAAATTTTATTAGTTTTAATGAACATTTACAGAGATTTTGGGTTCTCATTCATTCATTGTTGCACTTTTCTCTACCCTCCTCCCCAGTTCGTTCTTCTTACCCCCTCCCCGAATGTCTGTTTTAATTGTCCAATTGCCATAGTGCTTGTCAAAACCAGTTCTGATTAATCTCCTTTGTCAGTGTGTCCTTTGCCATTCCCTATCACTCCTCCCTGAGAGAGACTTCACCCTGATTCATAAGGAAAAGGGGACGGCATATTCTCTTAGCTACTTCCTGCTGAAAAGGGTCGCTGTGGGCTTCAGGGTGAAGATCTTCTCTCACTACTCTAAAGGGCCCCTTTGGCAGTAGGAAACACATAGACTATTATGGAGATTGATTTTGGAGTTTAGATGCACTGTTATCAATTGTGCTTAGCCGTACATGTTCATATCCTTGAAGATGTATGATTGTGGTTTTTATTCCCTTCACAGTTGGGTGTGAGCTGATTGGATTTGCTGATTGTTGGACTGCCAGCAATGAGCCTCTTGGTTTAGAGTCAACCATGACCTGTTGGGCCGGCTTTGTATTTAAAAGGCAGTAGGGCCGTCTGGCCTGTGACCCTCAGGCCTGGTATTAATTGTGTTTGGGATGAACATTCTTCTAAGTAATACAGCACTGGTCTGTCAATTTGCTGTACTGAAGTAACTTGAGGTTGCTGTGATGCTGAACACTGTGCCACTGGTGTATCAATCACTATAATGGTTACCCATGGTGGACAGTGTTTATTGGAGCTCTCAGATTGATTCAAGTTTGGAAGCGGAAGTGGTAGCCACTTCCTAAACCACATTCTTCGGGAAACTCTATGAACATAGAGAAAGGACAATATTTATAAAATAGAGTTCAGGTCTTTTATTCATAGGGTTGCTATGAGCTGTGCTCGATTCACCAGCATTTAACAACAACAAAACCTTAGAGAGAAAAAAATATTCGTCTCCAAAACGGAACTAATCTGTTTGGGAAGAAGAACTGACACAGTGTTCCCTAGAAGCAAGAATGGAAAGACTTTGTCTCATGTGCTTTGACTCTTTTATTGAGGGGACCAGTCCCTGGTAAAGGTCAGGGCCCAACAGTGTTTCATTCTATTGTATACGAGGTTGCCATGATAGCATCTAACCATACCGATAAGAGTCCTGAGATCACATTTATGCAAGTGGGATAAGGTAATATTGTAATTTTGCAACTTTGTCAAGGATTTATTTTTCAAAATGGCTTTTCTAGTCATCAACTTTGAGTTTCCCTACAAGAGTGGTAGTTATTGTTCCATTGAGTCTAATGGACCCATAGCTGACCCTCCAGCAGGTCCTCAGAGTCAGTTAATTACATGGGAAGAGATTTCCCACTCTTTTGCAGAACAGCTGGTGAATTCAGCACTGCAGCACAGTGTCTTACCACTAGGCCACCAGAGCTCCCTATATGAGTGAACTTAAAATAAGGTGTGTATAAAGTAATCATTATGGGATTTGCCAATTTTTTTGCATCTCACTTAATTAAAATGAGTGAATTTAGCAGCTAGAGGGTATCTCAGGGAAAAGGAAAGAGTGAAATGTGCATTCTTTGGGTTTAAAGATTCTTGCACCTGAACCGACCAAGAGGAGCAACAGCCTCAAGAGAGAGCCAGAAGCCAACATGAGACAGACCTGACTTGGTACTGTGCCCAATGGATCAGAGCCCGAGGTCTTCATCTAAGCTTTCTGGAGCACTGAGGAGTTAAGAGAATTTTGTAACACTGACCTAAACTGTGATGTTGAAGTATGAGGGCTTGTGAGCACACTTGAGATGCTGTATGGACTGAGGAATTGTATCTTGTTGTCAATAAGAATTGTAACAGGTTAACCTTCGGAATAAAGCCCATAACTATGAGTTTGGTTCTGTGAGATCTGTGTGGTCATTGCAATGAATTTCAAAACCAGTAGAGCAGTAAGATTGGTGCTAGAATTAATTAGTCGACCATATAGGAGCATGGGGGACCATGTCTAATCTTACAGGAATTGGTTTTGTTCTGTGGATGTTGTTGATGCTGACAGTTTCCTTTTGTGGAGTTAACATGGGTCAGATATGGCCATCCTATGTCACCTACTCTCATGGTACACCTTTAAATGTGGTCCTGATAAAGTAGCCTGGCAGCAACTCCTCCTTTAGAATCATCAGGCACTAGTTCTTTCTTCTGCTAAAGGCTCAATAGAGTCATGATAAAAAAAAAAGATGTTATTGGTCTCTGGCTATCTGACCCACAGAGTAACAGTCAATGTCATCTGTGAGCTGTGGGATCTTTGGCTCGTGATTTGACTTTTCTGATTAGTTTTCTAATCTATACAATGGAGTTAATGCTGCCCTACTCTAGTTTGTTATGGATCTTACATGAAATTCTATGTATATAGCAACTAGTTTACTGCCTGAAGCATGTTGTTTTATATTGTGAAACTGAAACGGACCCTTGCTCACCTCCATAAGGTTTTCAGAGAAAGCAAATCACATGAGAAAAGACTGCCCATCGTTCTCTCAAGGAGCAGATGGTGGATTCAAACTGCGCACCTTTGGGTTTGAGGTGCAGTTTCTTACCACTTAAGCTACCAAAGTAGGGAGCTATAGTGGCCTTGTGGTATACGGAGCTGTGCTGCCGATCTGATGGCATTCTGTTCAAATCCACCACGGGAAAAAGGTTGGAAATTTCCTATGTGAAATACTTCCTCTGAAAACCAGCCAAAGGGTTAACTATGGATTGGTTCTAACTCGATAGTGTGTAACAACAAACCACCAGAGCTGCTTAAAAAAAGAGTAGTTAACAATAAACATAATGATGTTGTTGTTGTTGTTAGGTGCTGTAGAGTTGTAGACGACTCAGTGAACCTATGAACGAAAGGCCTGAGCACTGTTCATAGGGTTTCCGGAGGCAAGCCGTTTCGGAAGTGGATGCTACTCCTGCTTCCAGGCTTGTTTTAATCAGGGAGCTCCACCAAACACTGTCCACGGTGGGTAACCATTATCACATTTGGCACATCAGTGTCACAGTGTTTGGCTTCACAGCAACCACGAGTTACCTCTGTAGAGCAATGCACAGACTAGTGCTAGACCACCTAGAAGAATGTTTGACAGGAAAACAATTTGAACCAGGCCTGAGAGCTGCAGACTAAAATCTCCCACATAATACTTAGATATTAAAAACCACCATTTTTTTTGTTCTGGAAAACAAATGTTATAGGTATCATTTTTTTCAGTGTCATGGTTTTATTGTTTGTTTATGATTTGTTTTCTTGATGGGGTTTGTTCTGGTTTTTGTTTGGTTGATCCTATCACTGTGTTCCAGAGGCCTACGGGAAGGTAATTAGAAACGGTTTTCTTTGTTATAAGCCTCTTTGTCCCATGTTAGTTCTGTGCCTACTCACTAGTCACAGACAACATATGAATGAACTAAATTATTTTTTTAAAAATGTTTTTATTTTATTATTTTTTTCACATGTACCATCAAATTGGATCTGACTGATCCGGGAGGAGGTTGCCCCTCCTCCAGCAGAGCATCCCTGAGATTACAGTGTAGCTTCTTGCCACTAGGCCACCAGAACTCCCTAGAATGAGTTAAATTATTTTTTTAAAGTCTTAAATGATTTTTAACAGTCATGTGATGATTGTAATCAATGTTACGAAACAGAATGGTTTAATGGAGTAACAGTCTGCTCAAATTATAATAAAAAGTATTTTAGAAAGTTATGCATTTTACTTGTTTAATGTGGAGAACTAATGGCACCAGAAATGCCACTTAAATGTGACTTTTTGGTCCTTCCATACCTATTTCTTTTTTTCTCCCCTTTACTTCAACATCTTTAAATTTTCATATTTATGTGGTCATTTGCCAAAGTAAGAAGAATTTGTGGTTTTTTAAGCCATCAACCTTACCTTGACCTTTCATGAACTGTTTGAAGAATTCATCCCAGGAGCCATAGCTTGGAATATCAGGAACATCATTGTGAAAATGGAAAAAAGATACTGCTGTGTCTTTAGGATTTCGAAATAACACTAATATCTAAAAAGGAAACAAATAATTTTGTTTATTGAGCTCTGTGCTTTTTAATCTTTAAATGGTGAAAGGGTGATCAATGCCATTTTGTCCTTTCATGTATTAAATTATTTCACCAATATATAGGGAAAGGATGATAGTAAGAATCTAAGCACCCAGATTTTGGAATATTGTGGCTATTGTCCCAGAGGACATTTCTTTATAAGTTTAGATGGTGAAAGAAGACTTAAAGGGGGGAGACCAAGTTTATTAGAATGGTGTAATCCTGAGATTTCTGTGGGGGCAAAGATCAGATCGGCAAAATTTAGTCTTCGGGGATTTGGCTTTTATGGGTAATGTAGATGAAGCTACATCTGTGAATTGCCTTGCTCTAACTGTTGTCTCTGAGGAGGAAAATGGGAAGTGACTATTGTAGGAACAACCTAAGCTCAAGAGAACCAGGTGGTGTGGAAAACGAGTGCTGCTCCAAAAGAGTTTATATTTTCTGACCTATTATTTTCATTTCACAAACAGAGAAAAATGGAGAATACAAGATCAAGAATAGTTGGTAACACACGAGGAAACTCAAAGTATGTGTAGGAGACCAGAAGACTAGAAACAGAGCGAAGTAATTCACTTTCATAAAGAGGGAAGGGTAAAACATGGATTTTGCAAAATACAGGTGTGCAGTTCTGGCCCCCATTTGGGAAAAGTTTCTGGAAATGTCTAAATAGCTGATTTAGAGTCACAGAGAAGGGAAACAGCAACCACAAGGGGGCAGCACGGCTCCTTTAAGAACGAATCCCGGGTGTGGTTTCCAGATTCCTAGTTTAAATTGTTTATGATTTATGACTTTTATGATACAAACTAAACCAGATGCAATCAGAAACTTAGAGTGATGGCATATTCATGTTCAAAAGATGCTAAATAATTCCGGTAAACCTACCTGGATATTTTTCCATGACATTTCCTCTATTCTAGCTGAACTATAGTTAACATTTAAGTAAGTGATATTTAGATAAAGACATAAAGTTATTAAATGTGTTGGTGACATGAAATTAGAAGGGAAGAATTGAAATCTTAGAATATCTTGGCAGTCAAAGAATTGAGTTAATAGGTTAAAACTGATCAGTGTTAAATTTGGGGGAAAGTTGTAGGTAATAACATTCAAATCTAAAAATCACCACCACCACCCCCCTCATCTAAATATAGTAGACAGTAGGCATATATTGTACTTCAACTTTTTATTTGAGCCTTTGATTTTATTCATTTGTTACCCTGGCTTGTAGCAAATTATAATTTTACGAAGACATAAAATTGAATTGTAGGGTAGAAGGAACTAGCACAGAGGTGAATGCCCCAAATCCTTCTCACCTTGGCTCTTTCTCTCTCTCCTTGCCATGCCCTGTTATGGGAGGGAGCAGTCTCTGCTCAGAAGCCTGCCTGCTCCAAATCCCAATGCTTTCTAGCTTATTTACAGAATCACTAAGAAAAAACAAGTGTCACCTAGAATTTGTTGTTGTTGTTGTT